TCTCTCTCTCTCCGTCGAGCTTCATCGACTGCAGCCGGGATAAAAACTAAGTCGGGCCGACGGGTGGAAACACCTTTTTAACAGGCTGGCAACAACCGCCTGGCGCCGGATCGATAGCGGCATCAGCGCTCGCTAATGCTCCGATGTGTGGCCTCCGTTTGTGAATGGGCGCGTGACGTGTTTCTCTGTGTACGTGTTAATGTGGAAGACGACTGTGTGGCATCTCCACCCCCGAAGATAAACATCATTCAGCAGCTATTAACTCATTAGAGGGCTGAGAGGAGGCGCACATCCTGCCCTGTGGTTAGGAGGGAGATTTGTGCAGCAGCATCCAGTCAGAGTCAGTGAGAGAAGTGTTGTAGCTCTAAATTTATCTGGGCTTCCCCTCCCCGAATCATCCAGAAGGTCACGACACACACTCATGACTAAATCACAAAAACACAGCACCATTGAGTTGGGTTGTAAATGCAAAACACACCACCTAACAGTTAGCTTCTAAAAGGTCGTTTATATCATGGACTGCAAACTAAACTCACAACATTTAACCCTCTGAACCCCAGAACACACCAGCAGCTTTACAAGTCATGTGATTAGTATAAAAAACTAAGCTGAAGTTACATCATTCAGCAGTCAGAAGCTGTAAAAACAGAAATAATCATCAGGTTATGTGTGACGAACCAAATCTGAGATTTAAAATCGTGATATTCAGAATAAAAAAACTTTATTCTACATGCTTCATTTAAAAAAAATTGCAAAAAATATACACATTGCACAAATCGGATTTTGTAAAAAACAAAAAATTCTGCACTCCTTTGCTCAAATGTGAAGCCATGAATGACTCAGCTGCAACCAACAGTCACATGACAAAAAATGGAGGAACTTTTTGGCTGAACTGCAGGCAGTGTATACACACATCTTATAGGAAAAAAAGTATGAAAACAAGTAAAAAATCTAAAAAGTAAAGTATTTGTAGTATGTAGAGTCAGTTTCTCTGTTTTTCAGTATTGGTAACATCTGTGGACACTTGCAAAAATACAAATAAAATTTAAATCTATAATCAATCTCATTTTTTTTGTTTGTTTTTTTAAATGATTTATTACTTTCGAACTAAGAAGACATGACTGAGTTTCCTCTACTTTCAGCCAACAACGTGCCGTTTCTATAAAGGTGCAGGACTTTGCATTGCAGCTGACAAAAGCAAAAGACTAACCAGAAGCTGCTTTGGGAGTTCACAGGTTTAATTAAAGACATTTTCTAACGATTGAGGCTAGATGACATTTCAGGGCTAGAGTTGACTTTCTCACATCGGTTGCAGCGGCGCGTCTAACAAGCATCGCTGTTAGTTCCTATACACGCTGGTAGTTTCTGTAAATGTAAAATTCTGAAAAAATTTCTGAAATAAAACATGTTATCCAGATTAATTTTTCCGCTGTATTAAAGCGGTATTAAATTATATTAGCATTTCCGACTGAACTGGTTTTTTTTTTTAGCATTCTCGGCGCTAACATTTTTAATTTTGGAGCCAGTGTTTGAAAGTTTGTTTTCTCATTCGACTGATGTTCCCTGAAGGTCTCACGTGCTCGTCAGCTGTGCACAGAGAACCTCTAGACTCCATTCGAGTGAAATAAGGTGTTCTACTGTCAGATTTAGACAACACACACAAAGTCAGACCTGCTAAATGTCAGATGCACCGCTGTAACAAATACTGTCGCGCCTGACAGATTTGTGGTTGCACCCTGGAGGCCTGGATAAGAATGATCAACACAACAACACAGTTTGGACACAGAGATGAATGAAAGCTACAGGAAAAGCTACGATTTCATCAACGCTTTCATCAGACTCTTGCTCTTTAAAAATGAAACAGATAAACTCCCCTGAAGCAGAGAGATCAGCGGGTTTCCTCTGCTTCAGCGAGCTGCACGAGCTAAGTGCACTCCGGATACCGAACATACCTCTGGCTACGGCGCAGAGCTGTGACAGTCAGATGCATCTCTGACTCACAGTCATGTTCTTGGCTTTCGGGGGCCAAATCTTACAAAAAACACACCAGGAGAGAGAGAAAACGGCAGCTTCATTTTCAAGCCTAACCTGTTTGCAGTCGGAGGCCAGCAGATTGAGGCTGCTGGTCGAGATGGTGAGGCTGATTGTCATGCCTGCAAACTGCAAGTTGCTCTTTCCCAGGATGGACGTCAGACAGCGAGAGGAAGGCTGCGAAGGAGGAGAGGGAGGATAATCAAACAAAGGTGCAGAAAGAAACACAAAGCAACAACAGTTTTTTTTTTTTTTTACTCCGACTAATCCACTGCCTGAGCATGTGGGAGTATGTGTGGAAATGCCTGTGTGCGTGGGAGTCGGAGAACAGCTGCAATTGTGAAAGTGATCCCGTCTCCAAGGCCAACTGTGACCGATGGGGAATAGCCAGGACGGTTCACACACCGCAGGCCGAAGCCAAGAGCGTCGTGCGGGCCGTGCCAGCTCGGCCGTGCCAGCCCCGTTTATCCCAACCCTCCTCCTGTTCTCGTGGCCATCGTCCACATTTGCTGCGTGAGAACAGCTCCATCAGCGCGCTCGGGCCGCATTAACCTCAGACGAGCTTAATCTATTCTAGTTTGCGTATTCTGTCTGCGCTGCCAGACATTCTTTGGTCAAACCCCGCAGGCAGCTGGATTTAGCCACCTGTTTTATAGACTGTTTGGGTGGATGTTTTTAGTTTTACAGGAATCCCCAGCGCAGACACAAGCAAGTCTTTAAAAGCAGGACTGGCGACTGTGTCTGCTTAATCTGTTCTTTAGCCCCGACGCCGGCTCCACGCGAGCTCCTACTCCTCCTCTTTAGCCTCCCTTGTGACGAGAGGGAGGGAAAAGTGAGACCAGAGAGTGATTGGTAATTACCTGCGAGTAGCCCACTAACCACAGAAGTGTACAATCAGCCTAAATCTAGATTTGTGTGTGTGTGTGTGTGTGTGTGTGTGTGTGTGTGTGTGTGAGGGAGGGAGAGCATGTGCCTGAATAGCCAACTGACCACAGGGTGGACAATCAAGCAGAATCCATCCAGAAAAGCCTTCCCACTGCTGTCCACTTAAGCCGTATAAATAAATAATGCCCTGTCAGGGTGTGTGCTGCTGCCTTTCTACGTACCTTTCTCCTGCGTTGGGCTCCTTTGGCTCCGGGTACTGCCTCGCAAACCACAGAGATCGCTTCCCTGAAACAAATAAAAAAAACTAAACATGCATGTCTGACAGTGGAGCACCTTCCCTCCATCCAGTGATAGAATTTATCGTCCCTGGCGACCGTGCTCGTCTTTGCCACGCAGACAAACATGACTACGGAAACCAGAAGGAAACCACCAGGATTCCAGAAAGTTCTAATTTGAGAGCCGAGGCGTGGATATGTGCACACACACACACACACACACACACGAGCTCACACAGTCGAGGCACCAACACAGAAAGGAAAACAAACCAGAGCAGAAGTGGGACAAAGAAATACACAAGAGGCGAGTGTTGAGAAGGAGTGAAACGACAGGAGCTAGAAATAGTAGATGAGCAGCATGTGGTCTCACCTGGTGACCTGAGTTCTGGTGTTGAAGTCCAGCGCTCGCATCGACTGCAGCACCTCCACGCACCCCATGTACTGCCCAGGAAACAGGAAGGCAACGCGTTAGCATCAGACATTTCCGACATCACGGCTCCATTGTGCCAGAGGAAGCAGAAAGCAGCGGCGGTGTCCTTTACGCGCTCAGTTTCTAAAAACGTGACGGAAGGTCGCGCACGAGGGGTGATCGGAAATTTCAGGGACTGAGTCAGAACCTCATTTAAATTTGGCCGGCATTTTTGTCGAAGCAGTGTACTCGTGCGGCGACACTCTGCTCCCAGTGCTCCTGCAACGTTCCCTAGAAGTCTGGTTATGAAAACATGTCAAGCACCATGTCTTTAACTGACGCCAAAATCGATGACACTGACGCTGAAAATTTGTTGATATGAATATTTTCACACATGTTTTTGTTTTTAACTTCAGTTAAATGTAGAAAATGTTTTAAAAGTCGATCAGTATCACAACAAAATTGCTGAGTCATGACATCCTGGTCATCTGTTAGCTTCCCTCCTGCTCTCTGTGCTCATATAAACTCCATTTTTAAACAGTTGAACTCTCACAAAAAGCTGCTCTCATTTACAGATCATTCTTTGGAGCTGCTCTGCACCATTAAAATCCTGATTTTATAACGGCGTCTGACAAACTCACCAAAAATACGAGCATTTGACAAAGGCTGTGCCGTGAATTCGACTGTATTTACACAGAATTGAAGAACAATTACACAAGAAGGAGTAATAAGGACATAACAATAAATACAATAAGGAAAAAAGAAGTTGTTTTAGCTGCTCCATGCTTGTAAAATATCCATCGTGTCCATATTGCACTTTAATATAAAGTGTTATTAGTGTTGCAAAAAAATTTTGAATTCTTTTGGTGCCCCCCTTTTTTTTTTTTTAAACTAATTTTCAAAATGTTTGCAATTCCAGCTAAACTCTACAGTTTTGCACTTTCATATGTAAACTTTTAATTCCATACTGTGCTGCTTTACACAATGGCATACAGTACATCAAAATAAAATGAACTTAAATGTAGGAAAATTAGCCCAAATTTATTGAACTGATCCGTGAAAACGTGAGAAAGATAGTCGTTAGTGGTAGCTCTACTCTGGGTACTAATCTGTCTTGACAATCTCACCCCTGAGAGCTAATTGGCATTTACATTTTCTCCAGTTTTGGACACTTCTAAACAGTAAAAACTGCTGTTTATTCGCCTGACGGTAGCCGCAGACCCACCTCTGATTATCAGTGATGATTCTCCACTTGAAGGTCGACGCACAGTGTGATAGTTGTTCTCTGGTAAAAGTTTTAGCTCCACAGTGAAATCGCAAATGTGCACCGACAAGACACTAAAATGTGTGTAAAACAAGTCTGATAATCACCTGGTCTCCTAAGCTTGTGCTGCTTGTACACGTTGCATGCATAGTGTCAGAACTTTTCCATCACCCCTCATATTGCGCAAAAACTTGGAAATGCAGCTGTGTAGCGTTGTATTTAGGTTAGTGAGAGTGTGCAGTTCACTTACCCGTACAGTGTAGGAAACCCCGGTGGTGCTGACCACGCTGTCGGAGTGCAGCCAGCCACGGGTGGGTTTGTTGACAAAGGAGCCATGGCGCGTCCACTCGTCTCCTCCCAGCTGCCCTCCTTCCACCCGTGCCCTCCTGGACGCCCCTCCCAGCCGGTTCATGTCCTGCAGAGGAGGTCGAGGAGGAGGAGAAGGGGCAGTTAGAAGGGGAACAGGGTGATGGAGAGGAGGGGAGGAGCTGGAGCTGCTCCTGTCATCCCCCGAGGACTCGACAGGCGCCGGAGGCTGCTGCTGCTGCTGCGACCTGCTCGAGGCCTTGAGTCCTGGGAGAAGGGTAGCAGAGACGCCCAGCCGAAGGGAGCCCATCCTGGGGAAGAAGGAGCAGAGCGTGGTGGGGCTGTTCTCGGCGGGGCGGGGAGACGAGGGGGGCAAAATGGGAGTGAGAGACGAGGAGGAGAGGGAGGACGGCAAACCTGGGGAGGGAGTGAGAGGGGTGGCAGGACTGGAAGGAGGGAACGATGATGGATTGGAGTTTGTTTCATCAGTCGAGCTCAGCGATTCACTCCGAAAGTGGGTGTACTTGGTTTTCGGAACAAGCTCCATAATGAATCTGCAGTGTCAGTTTTTATATCCGCGCAAGTCCACACAGGCTTCTAGTGATTCAATCAAAGTCTCTTTGTCTCACTATTCAAAGTTTCTCTGTGAAAGGACACACAGCCATCTGTCTGTCTCGCTCCGTGTAAGAGCTGCATCCATCTGTCTGGTTGTCTGTCCTCCACTCATTACCGCGCAGCCAAAACCGAGCTGCTTCAAAAACGGCTTTATCCGCGGCGAAAGCAGGATGAGGAAAGGCGCGCAGGAAAAGTGGGGTGTCCCAGTTAACGGCAGAACGCAGCTGAAGAAAGTTTTTTAGTGCAGCAGCGCAGCTCATGTTGTCATCAGTTCACTTTTGAATCTGCTTCGGCGAGTTCCCGGGGACCGATGAGGACGGCGCTCCGCGGAGTGTTCCTCTTGGTGTTGTGCCACAATGTAAAACAATATCTGTGAGTATCTTGTCCCGGCTTAATAGCCTCTGAGCGAGGACCAGTTACTCAGCTGTCGCCAGCACCATGGAGAATCAACACAAGCGATTGTCTTTCCGATCGCCCCCTCACTCTGTGTGTCTTACTGCTCTGGAGGGGTGTGATGTGTCTACATGCAGTGCAAACCTTCCCTGCCCACAATGCCTCTTTGATTATCTCTGTGCATGTGTGAAGCAGCTCCCCTTTGGCAGCTCTATCCTGCTTGACACGGGCCCATAAAAATCCTATTAGCAGCCAACGAGGGGATTGCAAAAAGAAGAGGGGTGGTGGTGCGGGGGGGACCGTGAGCGCTAACACATAGCACACAGCCTCAACTGGTCGATAGCAATACGGCGCGCACCTGCAGAGCTGAATGGAGCTGCTAAAGAAGAGAGAGGAGGATGTATGGCGAGTCTCTTGGCTGCAGCTACTCTTCAGATCCCTGCTTCACTCCCTCTCCCTCTTCCTCCAAATGTTTTCATGCCCTCTCTGTATGGCCCTGGCTCTCTCCCTGCCTTCCTCGTCCTCCCTCCTCTTCCAGATCACTTCGGGCGCTGCCTCCTTCTCTTTCCCTGCGCTCTTGCCTCCCTTCTCCCTGTCTCCTCGCTTATCCTGGAAGTCCTCCCTCTTCCTCCACACAATGTACTCGGCCAGCCTCTGCCTCTCCAGCGCCTCCGCCCTCTCCCTCGCCACCACTTCCTCTCTCCTCTTCCAGATGATCTCCCCCTCCTCCCCTCCCTCGTCTGCTCGCCCGTTCTCCAGGCTGTCCTGTTTAACAGTCCCTCCTTACAGTATATAAATGGTGAACCCTGTCCTTCCCACCTCTCCAACCCTCTGAGATGGTCTAGAGGCTAGGCATGGTCACCGTAGACACCGATAGAAATCAGAAAAGAAACGTAAAAGTTAAGACTGGGCTGGCAGAGTTGGGCCCTTTCCTGACTGAGGTTCCTGATATGGCTAAAACAAGTGCCTTGGTTCAAGTGTGTTCCCTAGAGATTGGCCACCTTGGTTAGGATGTTTTTTTGTGTTTCTGGAGCACCATTAGATAGCGGTAGGTTGAGATGCTGTCTGTGTCTGGTACAGTGACACACACTGCAGTAGCACGGCGGTGATGTAACACTGGAGAATGTAGGTCATTGGCTGATGACGACTACCGGTGGGCTTGCTGTGATGGTAATGAGACCCGATTGGTCAGGTTTGAACTTCCCAACCCAGGGTTCCCTGAATGGCGCCGGAGGAACGTCAGCATGAACTCGCCGACCCAGCAGGAAAATGCTCAGTTTTCAAAACACGCTGATTTCTCTGTGTTCTCACCCTGCGACTTTATTACTGCCCAGTTCAAATAACAAGCCCAGATTGTACCTGAGAGAAGAGTGTTGACATACGATATGAGCAAAAGCCACGTGTTTTTTATTCCCGGACAGCTCTCTTCCTTATCTAAGGCAGGGCTTATCAAGCAGCAGGTTAGCTCTCGGTTCTACTGTACAGACGCCACATAACAGCTCGTGTTCTGCATAGTCCAACCCAGAAGGCAAACAACAGTCTGTTTACAGTAACAGTCTCTCGCAAAGTCCCGCAAATAAAGCACCTCAGCAGGAGGCGACGCTACACCTACAGCAAGCTGGCGATCCTGCACCTTAGTGCTGCCGAGGCACTCGTCATATTTACAATCCGCCGACCTTTACTCCCTCGACGGAGAACAAGGTTTGCACGCACCTCGGGTTGTAAATTTGGCACCAATGTTTCAGTAATGCCGAGCGAAAAAAAAGGGTTGGTTTCAACTTTTCAGACAGCGCCCGAAGTACAGCGCGGGAGCTTGCAGTGGGCGCCGGACGCATGGCAAAGGAACAGTCGCCTACACCAGTCTAGCACCACAGAGGGATTGTCTAGCAACTCTAGCTAGTCATCCATCTGGTGTTGGCCAAAAAGCACCATGGAGGATCCAGTCATGCTCACGAAGTGCCAGACAGGCTGGGACGATCTCCAGAAAGCTGTAAAGAAGTATGGCTGGAAAAGTCACAAAAGACACCCGAGCATGCAAGAACAAACAAAACAGACCCTAACAAGTAGACGGAGGGTTAAAAGATCCGACACTGACGGATCCAGAGTCCAGGTGAAAAGCAAAAGGTGCTGCTGAGTTAACCCTTCCCGGGGATGTTTCAGAACACAGTGTAGGTCAGGTGACTGCAGAGGAGGCGAACCTCTACAAGAAGAGAAACCCTGAGTCACCTACAGACAAACAGTCAGAAGAGCAGACGCAGATAATGACTGGTGATTAGTGGCCGCCGCGGGGAGGCCCGGCAGCTGCACACGCTGATATGTACGAGTGGAGTAATCAGATTTATCCAGTCCCTCCTGATGGTGCCACATCAGATGGATGGAGAACGGTCACCGGTAAAGGTGATTTCAGGACAAACCGGGCTGAGCCGACTCGGGTTTGGGGGGGAGGGGGTAGGGGGGTGGGGGGAGGGTGAGGGGGGCCACCTGAAACAACCAAACCCTCAGAATGGGGAGGTGGAGTTGAGGGGGAGACAGGTGACCTGAAACAACCCTGATTCGCAGAGTCGGCTGAGCTCCGCTAAGACAAAGCCCGTCTGGTAAAGACAAAAAAAAACCCAAAAAACAACAACAACAAGAAAAACACACAACAAACCCTGTTTGAGAGCTTAAAGACTGCACCGGACTAATCAAGTCTACTCTGTCGGATATATGTATATACAGTTACCTAATGGAACAGCACCAGTTTTTAAAGATAAGACGAGGAAAAAGAACTTTACATCTTCTTCCGTCTGCCGCTGCCGCCCGTTGCTATGGCAACAGACATTAAAAAGAGATGCCCGCGGTGGATATATACACGCCGAGAAGTCCCGACAACAGCAGACAACCTTCACGAGAAGAAGAAGAAGAAGAGATAACTGCTAATCACATGGCAGGCAATTAGTTGCTGCATCAAAGGCTCCACATTAGAGCTTTTTTCTTTTTTTTTTCTTCTTTTTTTTTTTTCAAACAGGAAAAACTACAGACTCCTAGAAAGATCAATACAGTTCAGGAAATGATCAAAGTTTTAACCGGCACCGCGCCAGCCATAAAAACCCAATCAATGTTGACATCCCACATCGGCTGCATGCACTGACTCTCCTCTCCTCGTGTGATTTCTAAAGAACAATAATTCACTCCCTATACGTAGAAACGGCTACACATTCACACCGAAAAGGACGAGTGTAGAAAACTTGCATAAAAACAACCTGAATATCGTGTGCAGCAGCTAACAAAGAGAAATGATCCCTAGTAGAGGATAGAAAATCTGAAATATTTACAGGAAAGAAGAAGGAAAAAAAAAAAAAAAAGTAATTCAAACTGCTCTGTAGAAAGTAATCCCTAAGTGTTCTTGGTTTTGTTTGTTGTTTTTTTTAATGAATGGCAATGTAAAGTAGTTCCTGTTTTTGGTTTACAGAGCATGCAGTTGATAATCCATGGCGAGTCATGTCAAGCTGGGTTCCATGTTCACATGAGAACCACATTAATGTTTAAACAGATCCTGCTCCTTCCTCTTTCTCCGGCTTCCCGTCCGTCCACTCCCCTGAAAAACGTGCTCTCTCCTCCTTCTGATCCGCTCTTCTTCCGCTCGATTAATTCACAAAGTCACTGCCGGCAGCTCCTCTCCATCCACCCTCTCTCCTCCGTTCGGCCGCCTCCTCCTCCTCTCTCAGCAGATGGTGAAATGGCAGCGCTGCCAGCATGGACAATGGCACTCCTTCATTGTGCTCCTCTTCTCCCCTTCACGTCTGCCTCTCATTCCCACTTTTCCTTCCACCTCTGTCTGTTAAAAGGGACGCTGCTGTCTGTCCTCCCCTCCTCCTCCCAGTCTGGGTGGGTGATGCTGCCTCCCATTTTCTCTCTTACTGCCTCTCTCTCTCTCTCTCTCTCTCTCTCTCTCTCTCTCTCTCTATGTGCCCTCCCTTCCTCTCGACGCTTCCTCCCCTTCCCCCCAACCTCCTCTCTGCAGCCAGAGTCATTTAGCAGAGTACATGTGTATGCACGGCAAGACGCTGCACTCTTAATGCACACGAGGGGAGGGCGGATATGTGTGCGTCTGTGCGTCCATGTTGGCGGCCATGCGAGGAGGCTCCTCCCGTTTAATTCACGTCTGGTAACCCGAGAAACAGAGTCAAAGAGGATGGAGACGGACGGCAGGAAGAGCAGCGTGACACCGGGTCGCCCTGCGTAACCTTGGCGAAACTTAAGAACAAGATTCGGATGTTTGCTATCCTACCTCACGGCAATCGAAGGTGGGGAAGAGAGGGGGAAAAAAAAATAGAAGGACAGAAAGCATCTGATGAGAAGGCAGCGTGGCGGAAAAGCAGAGGAAACCACCCGTAAAGAGAGCGCAAAGCAAAGAGTCCTCAGATGACACCCCGACAATCGAGTCCTCAGATGACACCCCGACAAAAAGAGTCCCTGCACTTCCCTGTCTGACCACCACAATGTGCTTCTCTATTGTGCACTCGGGGATGTGAAGGAGGTAAAAACAAAAAAGAAGAGAAAATCAGACAACTGCAGAGTAGCAAGACTGTCACTCAGGGGAGTAAATCAATCAGCAGACACATTGATTGATGATTGGCAGCGATTGGTGAAGACAGTTCCCTCCACCGGTGACCCAGAAACACACACCAACACACACCGTGGCTCAGGGTCGACGCCGTCACCGTGGTTTTTGTGTTGCTAAAAAAACTTCATACTCTTCAGCGAATGAATAATTCATGTGCTATCCTGAGTTAAGATGAACCCTCTGAACCCGAAGCAGTTTCTGGGTTGAATTTTTTATTTTTTTCCCCCTCCTGTCTGTTTTACTCCTGTTTTTCTTTTTTTTAACTTGAAAATTACAACCTAAGAAAAATTGTCAGTTTGTTAATTTGAGATGCGGTTCAGTTGGAAAAATGAACCAAATCTCAGCTTAGCATAATGACGTTTCATTAAAACTACTTTATTCACATGTCTGCATGTTTGCAATAAACATTATTATATAATTCTGCACCTCATGACGCATGACTCATTTCTCCTGCACTATAAAGTCGTGCACCTTGATGTCTGAGAAACACAAGTGGTTCCACGTACAACAGATGTTTTATTCCTTCAATTTGTTTGCATGTGTGCGCTGTGCAAACACTGCCTGCAGTTCAGCCGAAAAGCTTCTTGTCATACGACTGTTGGTGGCCGTTACTTGTGGCTTCTGATGAGAAATGCAGAGTTTTTAGGTTTGTTTTACAGAATCGGATGAGTTAAAAAATGCATTTTTGGC